GGAATATTCTCTCCACAATTCCCGCAATGTTTCGTCAATCGCGGCGCTCTGTCTCAGATCCATGTACACGATTTCAGAGGGAGTCGGCCCCCTCGAGCAAGGCGCCGTTCTGGAGGGCAAGGTCGCCGTGCAGAGGGTGCTGTCCTGCAGTTCTTCTGCCGGCAAGGACGGCTCGGAGGGGAAAAAAGAAGCGGCATTTGGGGAGGATCTACTACTAGCGAAGTCGGCGGATGAGGAGACGTGGCTCTTGGCATCCAGGAACCCACCTGAGGAGGTAGCGCCTGCGAGGATTGGCGCAGAGGATTACACCATATGGTGCCCTTTAGCTCCGTTATGTCACATAGCTGATGTGGTATAATCAATGTCCATTTGTTGAGCACCAAAGATCATGCAATTTCGTTATGAAAATAGGGCCAAAGAATTGCGCAATTTGGTGTCGGTTTACTACAGTTATGTGGGGTGACTAATTTTCATTGGTCGTGCACCAAGATCACGCAATACCATTAAGAAGATAGTGCCCAAAGGGTTGCACAATATTTAGTGCACTTTTCCTCCCGCTATGTGGGGTAACCAAAGTCCATTGAGTGCGCACCAAAGATCGTTAAATATCGTTATGAAAATAAGGTTTTTTGGAGGCTCAACTTGCCACCGTTGAATTGCCCGATCCTTACCGGTGTATCGCCGCTGACGCTCCAGACCACGCTTTCGGGTAATTTGGCTCAATGCTCTGCATTTTGAAATTTCGCTTTTCCAGAAGCGTGCGCCATGCGCTTGAAATTTCCCTGTGAAAGACTTGAGGACGGCGAGCCAGCGTCTTGGCTCTGATCCCAGTTTTTCTGTTGTTTCCATATTTCGTCATCCATTTTTGTCCTTCCTGTGCTATTTGCCATTGTTTTCACATTCATCCTTGCTTTAAATTCTGCATTCGGTGTGTGTATGTTTTTTTTTTTTTGGGGGGGGGGGGGGGGGCCCCTGGCTGACGTCCACGACATTTCATAGCACGCGGCTCGAAAGCAGCGCCATTTTTTCCTGCTACAGGAGTGCCAAGGCCCCGACGGCGTGGCTCAGGGCGAATACGCGCACGAGCCTGAAGGTCCTTCAAGCGCTGGCGGCTCTTCGCCGCGGGGGGCAGCTTCTGCCTCTGTCGGGAGTCGACACTCGCCGGAGGACCCGCCGGTCCTTTTTGAAGGGCAGTCTGGGAGGAGCGCGGAGAGGAAGTGCGGGGATGACGCGACATCTGAAGCCAGAAGAGGATCCGAGGACCTTGAGAGCGAGGGTGCACCCCAGGTGCGCACGGAAGCATACAACGCGTTCACTACATTGTATTGAGATGTATCTGTAAATTTTGGTGACATATTTTAGTAGTTCATCTGTAAAATTTAGCCACACATTTTAGTACTCTTTTAAAGGAATTGTCATGTGCAGAATTTCCGTAATGATTCACTGTCTTAAAATGTGCAAAATTGCAAATTCTACAATTTATGTGGTGTTGCAAGTTCTGTGGTGTGTGAACATGTTGAAAGATGGGAATCGCTTGGTTTATATTAGTGTGGATTGTGGTTAAGAGAGGCGCGAAATTGGCTCGATCTTGAGCCTATTTTTGGCGAGCAGCACTGGCGGAAATTGACGTCACCTTTCCACAAGGATTGATTCAGTCGAGCGTAATTAGGAGACCCATAGCACTGTCGCTGCCTTGGTCGCATTGGTCTAATAAGGCGGCTCAGCGACGACTCTTGAGCTCGTGTTTGACATTCTTATCCTGTTTGAAATTGCCTTATTGGGCATTAAATGAAAAAATGGCGCATATGCCGTGAAAAATTACACGAAACGATGTTTCCTCGGATTATTGCGACTTTGGTTGCGTACGTGAACGAGCCCATCGCCTCATCTCTGACGCCGCCTGAACACATTCTGCCCCAGGGTGCTGGTGGCTTTGTGCCGTCTTCCCATGCTCTCGAGCAACACTGTGGAATTGATCAAACACATGTTGTAGAGGCAGATAATTGGAAAATGAGTGAGATGAACACAGGGACAAATAATGGACATAACGTTCTCATGCGATTGGGTGGGGACATAGCCCTCGGTGGCTGGAACGGTGTTGGTGGAATTTCAACATCACTTCGTCGTCAAACGCGCGGGATTGGGCCCCTGCCCGACATCGCCAATGTGGCGCAAGGCCGTCCATTTTGCCATGCTAGAAATGCAATCAAAATATATTTCAAATACATCAAAACATATCAAAATGTTTTGATTGCATTTTTATCATGTAAATTTTGTTGAGCATTCACATACAGACACATACGAGGATTGCCACACGAGGATTAAAGTTCAACGATGATTAACACGCACACACATTCGACGATTGACGTACACACACAACCCGCTGCAGGCCTCCGATCCAAACCAGTTGGCGACCCTCAGCCAACACGACGGCTCAAAGTCCTCTGACGATACCCAATCGGTCCCACCACCGTGCACCGATCCGATCGACCCCACACCCGCCACAACGACACAAACCCAGCCCCCACTCGAGCCTCCCAGGGGCGACGTCATCCCATTTTTCGATGGTGCCATATCATGCCACGATGACGTCATCATAAATTCCGCAGGCCGGGTCGCAAATCACGGTGACGCCATCCCAGATCGCGATGACGTCGTCCCGGATGTCGACGACCGCGCCCACGGCGGCAGCCCTCCGCCGTGCTCCACACCCACCCACTCCGGCGAGGGGTCCGGACTCTGCGGCCTGGGGGATCCTCCCGGGGCTGGAAGTGTGACCGGATCTGTGACGGGAAGTGTGACCGGCGGTCCCGGGGACCCAGGAAACGGGACGGACAGCTCGGGGTCATGGTCGGACGAGGAGCCCCTGGCCCCGGTGCCCCGGCAGGGGAGCGTGGAACGGGGAGGGCTGGAGGTAGAAAACGGAGGGGTCCTTGAGGCCCGCGGCAGCCCGGGGGACGGCCGAGGTGGCGGGGAGCTGGGCGGGTCGTGGGTAGCCTCGAGGTTCGAGCCGGCGATCGGGAGCGGCGCTCGCGTGGAGGCAGCTGGCAGAGGTGACAGGGCCAGAAGGCGCTGACGTTTTGTGAATGTCGTATTTTATGCATTATTCAGTTAATGCTCAGTGTGAAGCTCGTGTGCCTGTTGTCGAAGAAGCTAGAAACCCTTGCCTATTTTCCCTCAGTCTTCATTAGTACACAAAATTCATGTTAACAACAGGTGTTTGTGTACATTTTATCAACCTCACCCTCAACATTTCAAAGCTGGTAGATTTGTGCTCGTGTTTCTCACCAGCATTTTTGGTTCATGTTCAGTGGCCACTGGCGCGGGCGCACCAGATGCGGAGGACGAGGCCCCGCTCAGGGCAGCGGACGTCAGCGACCCCGAGATCGAGGAGATCATCGAAGATTTTGAGGGCGCCTCCGACAGATTCTCTGGCGACGAGGACCCCGACTACTGCGCCACCGCACTCCCCTCAAGGGGCGTCTCTGGCGGTTGGGATCTCGCTGCCCATTCCCCCGATGGGAAGGCTGAAGATTGGCGACCAGGGGGTTCTGACTCGATGGGGCCCCTTGGCTCGATAGACGAGCCCGCTGGCCCAATGGATGGGCCCCTCGGCCCAATTGGTGGGCCTGCTGGCCCAATGGATGGAGCAGGAGATAGTAGTCGTGGGCCACATGCACCATCAACGGATGAGGAGGTGAGTAGAACTGGGGCCGAGCCGAACGGAAGCCGCGGCGATCATTGCCCAGATGACCCTAACGTCGATGGCGTTGCCTTGGATGGAGGAGAGGGATGTGAGGGCGAGGGGGACGGGGAGCGCGGAGAGGATGATACCTTGGGGACCATTGAGGGCTTGTCCGAGACAGATGAGAGCGGCTCTCAGGTGGAGGTGGGTTGCAGGGAAGATTTCCGGCATACAGTATTATGACATAGATGTGCACGCCACCGTCCACGCTGCACCCACAGCACACGACCCATCAGAATGTGCCAGGGCCACGTCCAGTGCCGCCAGGCTGGAGGCAAACCCCGAGGCCCAAGTTATGTGGGGCGCGATCAGTTGGGGAACTCTCTTGCATTTTCGGCATTTCACCTCGCTGTCCGAAATCTGCCGTTTGCAAACAGTTCCTGAATGTGACGTTTTAGAATGCAGGACACTGTTGTCGAGAATGAAACGTCCCTGGACGGGAAAGTGTCTGTGTTGTCATCACCGCATTGCTCTGTTTCCAGTCCCTGTTCATCCTCGGGTCACTTCGAACAGTGAAATGCGCGTCACTAGCTTGCCATGGGTATGGATACCGAGTACAGCGCTGTATTTGAGGCAATGCTGGTAGATTGATCACACACAAAAAGTGTGACTGCAGAGAAGTCTGCCATCCTTGCGTTATGTTTGCGCAGTGAAGACGAGCATCACCCTTTCTGCACGCGTGTATCCAAACTTGCCCAACTAACTTGAATGTCATGATTCAGCAGCCTCAATCTGTGGTTTCAATTTCCTATTCACCGTTGTGTCTGTCATCCTGTTCATCCACACGTCATGTACTTTCACGGCTGATTTCTTGCTGCCCATTTTCTTTTTTCTTTTTCTCATTTGTCTCTTTCTCATTTTGCTTTTTCAACCTCGCGATCGCTTTCCCATTGAGGTCGCGGGCGCACATATACAACCTGGCGAGAGAATAATGCGAATCCCCTGGTAACAACACAGGAAAAAATAATAAATAATAATATAAATAATAAATAATAGTAAGGCGATTGATAACCCATGGCCACCCCACAGCTGTTCAAATCCTCGATGTGCCCCCGCCATCTGGGTTTTGGCTCTGCTCAAACAAGTACAATACAAGTACAATAGTATATACAAGTACAATAGTATATACAAGTACAATAGTATATACAAGTACAATAGTATATACAAGTACAATACAGGTACTACACAGTGCTGAGCCTAGCACACTTTTTCTTGAAAGTTATGACTGACACGCCCTCGCGTTTGCTTTCACCAGGGCCAGGAGCGCGCCGACGCCGGCCAGGCTTCAGTTGCCCTCCTTCCCAATTATTCAGATGACGATGACTGGGGGGGCGACTCCGAGGAGAGCGACGCGCCGACCAACGCACAAGCCGGCAGTGGCGCCGATGCCCTGCGCTCCGAGAAGAGCTTGCCCTCGCTGCACGCAGGCCAGGTGTGCGATTTATTAAACAGATTCTATTTAGTTAATTCTTGATAAAAGACAATAAATCTATATTTGACCTTCGGCAAATATCTTTACCTGATTAATCTCACAGGTGGGGTGACATTGCTGAGACAGCTCAGCCGGCGTCTCCCTTGCTTAAACATCACCGTTTCAGGCAAACTGGGGAAGGAGAAGAACCAGGCGTTTGGGATGAGATGGATCACTGCAAATCCGAAGAAATATTCCCTCGGTTCTTTCTTTGATTTGGATGCTTCTTTTAACATAAAAGCACTGTAAGTATCTTCTACGGCGACGAGCCTTACCCGCAGTTGCTGAGTCTCGCTGTTGATCCGTCTCGCCACGGCGTCGGTCAGATGTCGCGTTGGAGCATGGAATGCCAATGAACAATGCACACACCCAGTCTGTGCAACCACGCAGGTTGTCAAGCATAAGCTTACAAGGATAGCTCTCGGTTCGGACCTTCTTATGACTGATGCACATTGTGTGGCGACGATCAGGCATCGCGTGGGAGCATGGCGAGGAAGGTATCCGACATGTCAGACGCGGAGGCGATGGACCACATCCGCTCACTTCTGGCCGAACTGTCCAGCGAGGAGGAAGACGAAATTCCCCTGGACCCACAAGTGACGTCCGCGGAAATCGAAGAGTCGGCACTGAAGCTGAGATTCTGAAAATGCACGTTTCGAAACTCCAAATCGATTGGCCATCTTTTCCTTGGGCGGCAGGAAGCGGCAAGTACACGGGGGGACCTAAAGTGCTGAGTTATCATCAAGTAGATCACATCATATGATTCATCTTGATGTTTATCAAGATGCACAATCAAGTGAAGTGGTGCTGAGGCGGTCGACGAAGCTCAGCTGCCCATTCGAGGGTGATTTTGCGCCGCTAACTCTGGTGATAACGGCCAGAATGGACCGCCATCCTTTGCACATGGTACACATTGGTGCTGCACACTTGGGCCGAGGAGAATGGAGACAGATCAGGTTCGAAACATCCACATCCACATGCCTACTGCCACATCGAGATCAATGACCCACTTGTCTCCCACATCCCTCTGGGAGGACACGGCTACCTTGCCTTATACACTCATCATCCCAAGAAAAAAAGTCGCAGTGCTCACCGCCCCTTATCCGCCATTTGCCACAAGAAAGGAATCTCCTGCCCAAGTTGATGCCCGGCTTCTTTACCTGCCGTTGCTTTGCTGGCACCCCACATCGACACAGAACAGCGTTAATGTGCCCTTTATCATCCGTATGCTTTACTCCCTCTTGGGACGGCCACAGAGGTGCCAAAGGTCCTGTTCTGCATCCTTCACTGTCTTTTTTCAGGATTTCAGATCTCTCAAACCCACGAGCATTTTCAACCATTGCAGGCATCTGCTCAATCCGCTGAGCAGCAATTTCTGTCATAGGACACGAAGCTGTGGATGTGGGCATTGTGCCAGCATGAGCCTCGCGTGCAGCACAACAGACAACCAAATCCTGGCTGTCGGGATTTGGCAATCGATCTCGGTCATTGGGAGGGCAAATACCAGACAAATCAATTGAATCGCACGATGGGTGCCTACCAGCCACACTGCTGTCTCTGCACGGGCTGCTCCTGTCATCTTTGCAAGCATGCCGCTTGCTGGCTTTCTTTAGCCAGGGAGTGATTGCGGCTTGCCGCTTTTGAGGTAGCAACTTTGCTTGCACTTGTCTGGGGGCTTGTTTCCTTTCCTTGGGTCGCCTCTGGAATGCACCCGTTATTTCCATTGCAGCACCATCATGGATGAGCCTGACCGCCAGGCGCGCTGTGTTCGTAGCATCATCCAAACCGCAGTGGCAGCGTCCTTGCCATTTGAGGCGCATGTACTCAACACTCATCTTCAAATTGAAGCTCCTCTTACAGTGTCGGATGAAGACTTTTTTGAGGTTAATCCACCTGTCAAAGTATGATGGCTTCTTGATGCAGCGCCACCTACACTCCATCTCCAGCTGCACCTGCGGGAACAGTAAAACAAGTTGAGGTTGATGAGCGTGCACAGCAGGAGGGCTATGGAGAGCTGAATAGGAGTCATGGGTTTCTTTGGATAGGAATGCTTCAGATGGGAACTTTCTAGACAGGATTCTCTGGGTAGGAAATGCTTAGAGCAGTCCAATTTCTTTGTTGCCAGAGCCCGGTGCTGCCCTGCATTGCTCAATAGCCAGTCAGGATTACAGAAACCCAACATGAAGGTTGAACTGTGGGCAAATCAATGGAGGCAAGAGCAAAAGGCCAGATCCTCTGAGCCACGGATGTGCTGGTGCGCATTCTCAGTAGGATGACTCAGGAATCAAGGTAGGCCACACACAGCCCTGTTCCCACCCATTCACAAGGGCACAGTCTCTGGGGCTGGGCTGCAATTGCACCAGCACTTGCACTCGCACATCCAATCACTCATCCCCACTGCTGGCCCCATACAGAGTACGTATTCGATGTTGTAGAAAGATATGGACATTTGCTGGTGGGTTTGGAACGCAACGCAATGTGAACATTCCAAGTAGTTGGTTTCAACAGCAGCCAACCAACCAACCATCATAGCCGTCCACCCCGTCCCACCCAATCCCATTCCCAAACCCAATTTACTGCATTCTGCCTGGACACAAATGCCCATCTGCATGCCTAAAATCAGCCAGCCAGAACAGCGAGCAACTGGAATGTGTGCCTGCCAGCACAGCACAGCCGGCCAACTGGCCTCTCCAGTACCTCTAGTTGAGCATGATTGTGGGGTACTTGCGGACTGTTATGATGCTGTCCTACTGTTTCGAGTTCAGCGATGGCATGCACCACGACCAGTGTGCCATTTTCGTGCTGCATGTCAGGATACAACAGCTCAGTACCTCAAGGTCCCAATCTGTCCATGTAACTGGGGTAAAGGCCTTCCCCTCTGCCAGCACACCATTGTCTTCCAGCCACTGTTCATGCCGTTGCAACACAGCCTGCAGTGGCAGTGCATCGTCCACCTGGGCCTGACTGATTCCAGTAAGCTCCACACAGAAGGGGTCCAGCACTGGGTGCACACTTGGACGGACATATTCCTGGAAAGAGATGGGCAGGATGTCCAGGCTGTGGCCATCCACAACCACGCAAGAAAACTCTATAAGTTCCTGAAAGTGCAACAGACATGGCTCACCAAGATATCCTGCCACAGATATTTGTAAATGCAGAAGTTGACTCCCCCTTATTTCAATGAACGCAATCAGACCAATTGCCACAGTGCACAACAAGCCAGTCCATGCTTTTGGTGTCTACTCTGTGCACAAATGAACATGTCATCAGGGTTTCTGCAGACAGTACCCATTGTGCTGCCTTGCCCAGAGTACAGCTCTTTGCAGATGCCCAAACCCCTTTTGTGGCCATGTGGTGGTTGTTTTCTGCTGCCATTTTGCAGACTTGCAGATCATTTGGGGCACACCACGTTTCCACAAAGCAAAGGAATATGTCAAAAACATGGATCAATAGAAACCCATGATCTTTGGCATCAAGTGCCAGCTGCTGAAGGGACTTTCCTGCTGTTTCATTTGTTATGATTTTGGTCACCTGGGGCGTTGTCGAAGTGCATCACTCCTTCACCCAATGGACAAACTGGTCGTTACTTAACATGGCAAGCGGGCTTTGATTGCAGTTATATCGTTTGTAAAATGGCTGTTGGTGCAATTAATGCAGGTAACGTTGCTTGGCCCCCCAGTAAAAACACTTTTGCAACTGCGGAAGCATTCCCTTACCTGTGGAATCAGTTGCTTCGATTTGTTGCATGTGGCTTCAAAATCATAGACAACAAAGTAATCGAACTTTTCACTGGCCAATTTTGTCTGCCGCAGGGAAGGCAGGCGATGGAAGGATTCAATCCCTGCCTTCCCTAAACACGAGAGAAAAAGACCCACTGGGGGTTCTCTCATATTCGCCATTGAATGTTGCCCTCAAACGTATTTTGTGCACTTCCTGGTGCCAGGGGAAAAACAGTTCGTTATAGTCAGCAGTGACACCTTGATGCAAGAAAAGAGCATTAACCACTATCAACAAACACAGGACTGCACTGCATTCACACACACAGATGGGTGCAACCAACCATTCCTAGTATGGCAACATGCTGCCATTCCTCTGTATTGTTAATACCTTATTTTAATTCTTTATTGTTAATAGCTTTTACTGTTAGTGCTTTATTGTTCATAAGGTCAATGTGCTGGCATTGCACCCAAACTCGGGACTACTTTCTTTGTTTTTGTTCTGTTATCCCACAGCTCAATTGGGATGTCCTTGGATTTTCTGCTGCCATTTTTATGTTGTGCTACTGGCTTGTGTGCTGTACTATGCTCCTGGGACATTTACTTCAGAAGTACTAATAACTGACTGGACATAAATCTACCTGTCAGCCCCAGCAAGGTACAAAGCTTGTTCTTCAGAGTTCATCACACAGCTATTATTCTTGGACCTGAATTTTCAAGGCGATGAGGATTACAAGTGCATCAATAGAATGCCCTGGATGCCACCTTGCTATGCTCCATCTGGTAGCCAACGCCAACATTCAAACTCGTTTGCTATTCGGCACTGTGGTGCAAATGGGCCTTTGAAAGAGCATTGGCAGATCTCCACATCGCATGGGTGAAGCCAGAGGACACAAAAAATTCCATTGCTTCACCCCAGTTCGATCCCAGCACAATGCTCAGAATGTGAAGCAAACATCTGGTGCAGGTGTCCACACAGGGTTCTTCCTGTTGTTTCCTCTGCTGCAGTAACCCATACGGGTTTTTGAGGTTCGAGGCAGCGGCCAGACTTGGAGGTATACAGGCAATGGACGATATCATGTTAGCTTGTGATGAACCTGTAGCCTTCCGAAGCTGTAACTTGCAACTCGAAATGCACTCTGATCAACAGCACTCACAAATGTGCAACGGCATTCGCTCGTGCTGCCACTGTCAAGACCCTGGCGGCCATTGGACAGCACCGCTCTTTGCTTGCCCTCCAGAGCGGCACAATGAGTCCATCGACCACACAACTGCCTTCGCAGGGCAATGCGAAATAATGCACTGCATCTTAAAGGTCATGACAGCCATTTGCTCATCCAAGCATGTGCGCCTACAACCCATGAGGTTGTAACCTCTGTAGGACCTTGGGGTTCCATGGGCTCCGAAAGACTGAGGTGCTGATCTTGCCTGTGCAGAGAGTGTTCTATTCGCTATAGTGAAGGGTCAGGGATGCGACGCGTGGCTTGACTTTGAGACGCTACACGCTTAATGTGCCAGGAACATCAGTTCAGTCTCTGACCGCCCCACCCGTTCGCGCGCCGCGCAGCGAGGGCTGAACTGTGAAATGGGGTATTGACCGCTGTGGCAAACTGGCAAGCAATGAGCAATTACTCGGCGGTTGCTGCAACCAGTGGTTGATCCACTCCATCCACTCCGCTCCATCAGCGCCATTCACCTCATTCGCTGAATCGAGACGCGCTCGAGGCAGGGCGTTGAGGGGTGGCTCGCCCCTCACACCGGGAGTGAGGAACGCGAACAAAAAGCGAGACTACGGGAAAGAACCGGTGGACGGGGTGGCACCGGTGGACCAGGGAACGATAGACTGGTTGCGTGTACCCGGCGGATTGTGCAGGGCACAAGGTGTTGTTACGGCTAGAACTGATTGAGTGTTATTAATAACTGAATGTATGAAAAGATGACGAAGCACTAAGGATTGCATTAGGGATGTTGATGAACGGACTGGGTATAAAGGACAGAACGTCTGTTGTCCTTTTGCCTCGGCTGTAAACCGTTGCCGTGGACTCGAGCGTACAATTCCCGTTCAGGGATCGCCACCCCTCGACCCTGCCTGCCTTCGTCATTTGGCACCCGAGGCAGGGGGTGTGCAAGTCGAGACACGGACCAGGTTAGCTTGTTGCAACCTGGGGCAGACTCAGCGCCGAGAGCACTAGAGTTCTACGTTGCCCAGGCGGCGTCTCCGAGAAACTTTTTGGGATCGAAGATTCAAGACATCCATCGAACGGTTGGTTACGACGGGACTTCAGCGGCCCAGAGTCCATTTTGTGTGGCCCTTCTGGAGTGTTTTGGCAAGACCACCAGCGACGATCAGCTGTCGCTAGGCGTGGGGGTCAGTTTTGTGTCAAGGCTTCCACTGCTGACTCGAATACGGAGAGAATCGTACGTTGCGAGTGAGTCCAACGGGCAGTGCGACAACGTGCCACTGGTGCGCCGTAGCAGAGTGGCTCAGCCGCCGCCAAGGGGATCAATTCGCTGACTGATTGAGCCTCCTCCCAAGGGTCGAAGCGCAGTGCGGCACCACTCTCGTAGTGCTGTGCTACGGCTTGGAGCAGTACAACGCGCTGTGCTGTGACGGTGTCAGCGATTCATTGCGGTTGCTGAGGTGTCCAAGGAATCACGTGTTTGCCACACAGCACACACGTCCCCACAGCGAGGATTGCGTGACAGGGAGTCAGCAGGACAGCGGCTTGTGTCAACTTGTGTCAGCTCGTGTCAGATTGTGTCAGCTTGTGTCAGCCGACGGTGTAATCCTACAAGGCCACGGTCAGCGTCTGATTAGGCGATCCTTCTTGAGTATCAGCGGCGGCGATGGGATGCGTGGTGTTAAGCCAAAGGCCCGCCCATTCACTGGAAGGGGTGAGGACCCAGGGGTGTGGGTGAAGCACTTTTTGAGAGTGGCAAGAAGCAACGCTTGGGACACGTCAGCAGCAAAGATTGCTAATGCTGCAGTAGTATTTGAACAGGAGGCGGAAACATGGTACAATAGTAGGGCCGCTCATTGGGAAGATAATGAGCGTACATGGAATGAATTTGAGGCTGCGTTTGTTGCAAGATTCAGAGCCCCTGGGTACTTGGAGCAGATTGAGTGTGCTCTGCATGACCCTAAACAAGTGGAGGACGAATCTGTGGCCTCCTATGCAGAACGGTATAGATGCTTGCATGCTGAACGGGAAGCATTTGATGGGGATGGAGTTCCCATCAATGCTCTTCGGCGTTATTGGGTGATGGGTCTGAAAAAGGAGTTCCGCTTGGATGTTTTAAAAGCGGATATTCCTGATTTTAACCATGCAGTGGCAGAAGCCAAGCGAGTAGAGAAAGCAACGCTTCTCATGGAAGGGAAGTTGCCAGCAGCTGGCGAGCTCATGAGAAGTCGGGCCGTGACGTCAGACAAAACCGACATTGATGGGCTACAGCGAAACGTGGAAAAGTTGGCACAATCAATGAGTGAACTCACTGCCATGATGGTCACATCGATGGGCTCGAAAGACCGTGCAGAATCGAGTCCTTTTCCTGGGAATTTGGGGCCAGCCAATCGTGGCAGAGGTCGTGGAAGAGGTGGAGGACGCATGACTTGGAGAGAGAATCAAATTGGTGGCAGAGCTGACTACAACAACAATTGGCATCAAGACAATGACCAAAACAATGCTGGTAGAGGTCGGCCACTGACGGGAGCGAATGCAACACCCCTTGGAACGGCTGCGAATGTCCGAGCTGAGGACATTCGAGGTCCTGATGATCCATCTCAGAGCCATCAACGACAATCATTAGGTCGTTGTGTGAATGGCAAAGGAAGCCATGATGCTATGACAATGGAACTGGAAGCATTTGCTGGTGAAGAAACGATTGAAGAGGACAAAGAAGAACCAAGTAAGAAAAGAGTCCGTGTCAAGCGTGTGGGAGAACGGAAGAAACGTACTCCATTGACAGAGATTGTGTGTGGCGGCCACACACTGTGGCCGGGGGAAGCCCAAGTTCCAAGTATCTGAAGCTTTGTTCAATCTGCCGGTTTCAATTTCGCTGGGACAGCTACTCCAAGTATCCCCAACAGTGCGGCGTGAATTGCGCACTGGGATTGCCTTGGATAGGCCGAAGAAAACAAAGCCAAAGGGAGAAGCTATGGATGTGGAAGGCAGCTCACAGCCTCAAGCTATGAGCAGTGCACAACCAATCACCAATACACAACCAGTCACAAGAACACCAGAAGTGATGGCAGCTGAGGTCAACAAGTTGACAACCGAGAAAGCAATCAGAATTGACTGCCATATTGCTGATCGGGCCTGCCAAGGGGTTATTATTGACCCTGGAGCAATGCTAAACCTGATGGAACCAGAAGCAGCCAAGGTGTGTGGATTGCGTGGAACCAGAAGCAGCCAAAGTGTGTGGATTGCGTGTTTTGGGTCCAAGTGGTGCTGTGGTGCGTATGGCAGACGGTGGACGGCGACCTTTGCTTGGCTATGTCAAAACTCATGTTGATGTGGCTGGTGTCATGACGGATGTTTTGTTCCATCTGATGCACACCAACGCAGGATACCCAGCACTTCTTGGTAAACCATGGTTGAGGCTTAACCAAGTGGTGTCGTTCTGGGGCACAGATTCACATTTCATTCAGAATGCCGAGGGCAGCTTCTTGCCATTGGTGGGGGTGCCGACACAGCTCACTGACTCTGAGCGTGTTTGCGAGTTGCTTGATTGTATTACTCATGAGACGGGAGCAATCATGGGTGATACTTCAGTGGCGACCAGTGAGTCTGGTGAC